TGGTTAAAATAATGTTCCAAATTTCTTTCAACCTAGGTTTTTCGTCTGATGATGTTATGTTCTCAAAATGAGTCTTTTTGGACGGTAAAAATGTCATTTCATGGTCGAAAAATTGGCATTTGTCCAAAGGGGTTAACCGATGATTCTGTTCAAAAATTCCAGACATCTTTTAAGCCTACTTTTCTGTAAAAGAGACCTCGGTTTTTTCTTTTGATAATGTTGTTTAATCAAAAGGAAGCTTTTTAGACAATAAAATTGCAAATGTGAGAGGCTAGAGGTGTCGGAACATATTCGAAAACATATCCAGGTATGCTTGGATTAAAATCCATTTCTTTACCTCTCATTATAAATTTTCGTTTATGAAACTCCTATAATGCTAAATTCAGAATTCAACTCGTCCAATACATGAACTTGAAAGTTTTCAAGGTTTCGCTTAAGACTCCTGATGTTATTACGTAGAAGAGAGAAGCTCAAATCACTGGCACGACAGGGAAGTTCACTTTTAAATCTGTAGAAACTATATGGGGAATAGTAGCGACTATGGATACGATGGATGGATACGATGGTACGTTTAGCCTGAAAAGATTAAGGTCATAAATGCTAGAGAGTTTTTCTAGGTACTTTTTCGCCGGCAAATGGGGAAAAACAATTATTATATTGACTATAAGCCAAAACCAAAATAACGACGTTTTCCTCCTAAATGCATTGAAACACTTTTTAGGCTATCCAGAGTACTTTTATATCTCTAGAAATGTATTCTAAGTAGCGCTAATTTTATTTGTTCGGTTATCCTAGGGCAACTTGAGTCTTTTCGAAATTACAAGGGCTTTAGGTTTCCTTTCTCCACTAAAAAAAAGGCTTAACCTGGTGAGTGAAATGGAAAAAAATTAACTTCACAAAATCGTAGGGAATTTATTAGGTAACCTTCAAAAATTGTACATGAATGGAACGGTCATCTAAAAAACTCTAGACAATATTTGCTTCTCCGAACAGATATTTCAAAGAAAACAGTCATTGGGTGCTCCTGTAAAGACACTCATTAAACTTTCAAAATTTCTCTTGTTTTTTCTTTATGAGTTATTACTGAGTTTCTTAACTCTTTTTTAAATTTCCATCCGTTCCATATTAGTTACAATGACAAAGAAGGAAACAAACGAGGAGGGACAAAATCAATATTTAATAGTAAATCCAATTATTAAAAGCACCCTTTTTCGAAAGTAAAGGAGAAAACTAAACAGAGAGGAAACAAGAAAACGTGAAATAAGCATAGATGTACAAAGATTGGTCAGGCAGTAATTAGGAAGCCTAACCAACGACGACAACGGCAAAAAAGCAATAGGTTTTGCCCTGCCCACATGTATCCGGATATTTTTGATTACGGAGATTTTTACCTCCATTTTCAAACAAATACGCAACCACACGTAGCGTATTCGAATCGTAGTCACCCGTCCACACGAAAACGCTAAAACGATGGAAATACCATAGCTTTATTATTGAGCATGCGCTATGCTGGAAGTATAGGATGTATGACATCATGGTATTCCGAATTCGAAACCGTTTTCGTCCGTCCACACGTAAAAGAAAAGCCGACGTTTTCAAAAATCTCCACTCTAAAGAGCGTTATTGAAAAGGTGCATTTTCGGTGATCGTTTTTCACTGCATTAGTGAGTGTGGAAGGTAGGCTTAACCGGAGAAAAAAATATCCGTTTTCTAACAAAACCGTATACGTGTGAACAGGGGGAGGGAGGGGGGGGAAGAGAAGAGGTCTGGGACCGAGAAACGATGTTCTCACAACTTGCAAAGCGGTCACCCGGCGTGGTGGTCAGCGGATATTTACAGTATTTTTCCCACAGTAAATATTTTTAGACTTTTTAGAAGCAAGAAGCGAACCGACAGAGGAAATCAGAAATGCTTAAAAAATTGAAAAAAATTATATCATGCATCTTTGTTTTTCTTGCATATCGTATTTGTCTTTCGGTACTGAAATGCTGGGGAAACTAAAACGCAACCGTGCTAGATCTTAACCAACAACAACGCGCTCGATGGATTTATTTATAGGTTACATCGTTTTTGCCGGGCAAGGACAACTTGATGCTGATAAAAATTACCGGAGCAAGTGTCAAATTTATCGGAAGCAAGTTCAAGAGAGCATTATAAAAATGAGCTTACCTGCTCTACATATCGTAACTGAAAAAAAATTAACACTTCATAACATTTCAGTTCGTTTATTTCGATCAGTCAACACCTTGAATCCAAAGTTAAAATTCAAAACGATCCTAAAACAAATCACAACTACTGACTGAAAGCTCTGTACCTTGAAGCGAATTTTACTAGCTTTCCTAAGGTTTGCAGCAAAACACTGCTCGATAGCTCAACTCTTCGGCGGTTCTTATCAGCTATACGGAGCTATATGTTGCATATCCCAAACTGTGCAAAGGGAAATTGTTTAACAGAAAAAGAAAACCACACACTATGTCTGAACAAAGGCACGTTAAACGTG